ATTTGTTGTGCTATTTTAGTGTATTTGTAGTATTGTACACGCCGTTGCTGAATAGTTGTAATCCAGCGTGTTTTTTCTAGTCGCTATTTGTTATGAATGGTAAAATAAAAATATAGTCAACATATGGTGACTAGCACGGGCAGAGCAGTTGGAGGACGCTTTCATGCGTTTGTAATGTTTCCTGCTTGCACGATAGAAATGTACGCGGCTACCTGAGCTGCTGGTGGGCTTGCCCATTCCCAAAACTGGCTTCATTCATTGTCTGCGAGAGGGAGGAGGTGATGGTGGTGAGCTGCGGCAAGTCGGTCAGAAGTGAACATAAAGGGACAGGAAGTGCATTGATTTCAGCCTAAATAAACGCCTTGTGCCGTAGAATACGTGGGTAACTGGGGATAAAAGCAGCTGGGTGGTGTTAAAATTGTGTGTGAAGTGAACAGCGCGGAGCTGTGGTTGAGAAAAAAAAACACAGGAGGAGAAATGTTTGGGATTTTTTTACGACGCCGTTTTATTTTGAAATCACGTGGATGGTGGGGTTTTTTCAGTAAACTTGACGCTGAACGTAGTAGCTCACCTTGGCTCTGTGTGTGGCATTATGTGGAAAAATTGGAGTGGTCTGCCTCTGCGTGTCCTGGGTGTTTTGCTAAATCTGTATTTCCTTCTTGTGGCAGAGCTGCGGCTTGAAAACGCTGCTGTGCGAGTATTCAGTGCCTTAAATCGCAACAGCTATCTCTTTTCACCCAGTCACTCCATTTAAAAGCCCCCAAACTTGCTGTTTTACACAGGTGTGAATCACTGCTCATGGTTTGTTATTGATTAGTAAGTGTTTGAGTCGGCAGCGCGTGATGTTGCTCGGGGCTTCAGCAGCTCTTTGCGCCTCGATTGTAGCAAACTAGCCTCCATTCAAAAAAATCTGGCACTTCAATATTTATTAATTCTTCTGAAAGTGCGCATGCTCAAGAACACAATGTTTCTTTCTCACTTTTTTTGTGGTCAGTGTAGCATCCACCTACAAGCACTTTTATTTCCATTTTTGTGTAGAAAGACAACCCTGTATGTTCAGGATCACCCCCCCTCTCCCCTCATTAAAAAAAAAAGATTTTCGTCATACCGTTGTGAGCAACATGGAGTAAAATGCGAGATTTTCTGAACGGACTCGCGCTACACGCAACGTAAAAAGGCAGTTGCGCTGTCTGCATTACGCCTTCCCCTTGCTCGGACATTTCTGCATAACCTGCTTGGCAAAGAATCCAATATGACATCATGCGTGAGAAGAATCCCCCCCCTCAAAAAAAGAAAAAAAAAACAAACAAAATCAAAGCACCGATAATGTTACATAATCACAACTGAGCTTAAATTGGTGGGCTTGGTTTGTATGTCAGTGTGGTTGCCAAAGGGATAAACTTTACTGTCCCTGTGTTGTATGTTTGGATTTCTGTAGCACCAGTTGCTAATTACTAGTTGAGATGAAAATGGTGTGCACCTAGAAAAGAGCAAAATTTATTGTACAGCTCAGAGCTAAAAATGATGCTGGATTCCAGGGCATCTGGGGACAGCTGTGGCTGCTGACTTTGCTACAAAAACAACAGTGTTGCTATCTTTCCAAGACAGCATTTCTGGAAGTAAACTGCAGCTTACTTCCAGAAATGCAGAAATGCTGTCCATGGAGCTGAAATGCGTGCACTGGTTAAGTATTTTCTATTTATTTATTT